CCTCTCCTCTCTCCCACTTTGTGTCTCTCTGCTTCTCTCTCCCTCCTCTCTCCTTTGGACTAGTGGTTCCCAGTCTTGACCACTCTTGAAATCATGTGAGGATTTTTTAAAAAAGAATAATAACTGATGCTTTAAACATTATACAACCTGCATGTGTATGTAAATATCACACAGCATCCCATTCAAATGAAGTTTTATGTAGTCATTCAAAAGAAACATGATTAAATTTTTAAATTTCTATCCTGGAAATCTTCATTGCTTTACTTGGACTACCATAATAAAAATACCACAGATGGGATGGTTTAAGCACCAAACACTGATTTCCTGGTATCTCTAGAGGATGAAGGGCCATGATCAAAATGTTGGTGAGGCTGACAGAGGAGGTGACAGTGGCTATATCCATGAATTGTGGCAAGCTGAAGAACTAGGGACTGGGCCTTCAGTGTGGGGGTCAGCTCTCAATGCCCCTTGTTTACCATTTAATGGATCTAAGGTACAGCTTGGGCACTGGGACTTTTGAAAGCTCCCTAGTGATCTTTATTTAAGTCAAGGTCAAGAATACTTGCTCTAGATCAGGGGTTCTCAACCTTCCTAATACTGTGACCCTTTAATACAGTTCTTCATGTTTTGGGGACCCCTAACCATAACATTATTTCATTGGTACTTTATAGCCGTAATTTTGCTAGTGTTGTGAATTGTAAAACATCTGATATACATGATACGCGACCCCTGGGCCCACAGGTTGAGACCCACTGCTCTACATTCTTTTCACCTGGTATGCTGTTTTAGCGATGTTATCCATCAAGGTGCAAAGCCAAATGTCCAGCTAAAAATTGAAATCCGTTTACCATCTGAATGTGTGTGCTCTTGTCCAAGAAAACTCTTAGACCTGCTGTTCCCCCTACAGTGGTTGTACTAGTGTGACAGTTTATACAGCCCACTCTAGAGCTGTCAGTTGTCTTTCAGTGAAGATCCCCACCGTTGGTACAGGCACCATCTGTCTACAGGACTGCTTCTTGCTTAAAGATAGCAGAAGTTACTTGAAGTCCATTTACATTTTCTTTTAGAGCCCTATATGTGATGTGAGTAACTAAGGAATTTTTGCAGATAGATGACTCTGCTAAGGTATGAGACAATAAAGTGATTGATCTAGAATCAACTGGAGCCTAAGCCTTTTCAACCTACATGGTCTCTTACATGAGAAGACAAGACTGAGGTCAAAGTCACACACAGCAAAGAGCCAGAGGAACTGACTGTACTGCACCTTCGCCAGTCACAAGGAAAAGGAATCACACACAGCAAAGGGCCAGAGGAACTGACTGTACTGCACCTTCCCCCAATCACAAGGAAAAGGAAGAAGACAAGAAAGACTCTGTGATCAAAGCTTACCCACCAGCAATTTGAAATCTTCATTTCTTTTCTTTGAGACAGGGTAGTGTTCATGTTTTGCCACATACACAATGGCTGGGGCCTTTTTCACACCTGTCTGTCTGTTGCAGCTTGACCCCGGAGAAGATGCTCAAGATGCACCAGGGCCATGAGGCCATCCAAGCACGTGGAGATGATCTTGATCTTCTCTGCTCTGATCGCCATCCAGTTGGTGCTGGTGCAGTGGCGACAGGCACAGCCATTCCTACAACGTGAGTCCTCCAGCACCCGCTAGCCTGTCCCTTCATCTTCCACTATGGATTAGTGCTGCTCTGGCTTAGGTCAGTGCTGCTCAGCCAAGTGCACTTTTGCTCTGTGGCGATCCATGGCTGTATCTGGGAAAGGTTTCTGATTGTCTAGACTTGGCTTTGAGGGACAGTGTGGAGGGAGAAAAATCTCTCCTTGTGTCCAATGAGAAGAACCCAGGGATGCTGGTAAACCTCCACCATGCAGGCCAACTTCTTCAATAATAATGGCCTAGCCTAAATGTCACCAAGGCCAAGGTGAGAGGCCCTGGCCTAACTACAATTTTTCCCTTTGTCCATGGACAACCTCTGCCAAAAACCTAGAAAATAAAATTTAGGATAGCAGAGATCAAAAGTTAAAGCTCTTTCATGTTGCTTCATCAGAGAGAAAAAATACTAACGGATATTGCTGGCAGTCATCTGGCCACGAAAGGATTGTATTTCCATGGAAATGTGCAACCCAGATCAGGATATCCCTTTTCTGCAGAGTAATCCCACTAGAGTGTGTGTCTACAGGACCTTGCCATCCCTGCGGGATGAGAGCATACCCTCACAGTCTTTAGTCAGAATTCCCTGGATGGCTTTGGCCAACCAGATCCAAGGCTCCACTGACAGAATTTCTGATTCAGTTGGAAACAAGTTCACAGTTGTACCTGATGCAGACTTTTCTGAGACTACACTTGGAAAACCTCTGGTTTACAGCAAACATGGCCTAAATGCAGAGGCTGCCACGGAAGCTGGTCTTCTGTGGGTACTCTCTGTAGGAATGAGTGTGTTGCACTGGTTGTTACCAAAGACTTGTCTGTGGAAGATAAAGGATTGTCTTAGACTAGTATTTTATTTTAATTTTTCCATCAGAATGCAAAGACCCCAGCCATCACATATGTGTCAAAACATGACACTACCCTGTCTCAAAGAAAAAAATGAAGATTTCAAATTGCTGGTGGGTAAGCTTTGATCACAGAGTCTTTCTTATTATTTGTTATGTAGCCCAGAGTTTAGAGGAATTTTCAGTAGCGTATACTACTTAAGTTTCAGTGATTTTTAATATTTTAATGAGATAATCTTGTTTTATTTTTTTAAAAAATCCATCAAAATTGTATATCACCAGTATCTTGTCAATAAATAAAATAAAAACTGCACCTCCTTGGCCCATCGTAGGTTACTCACAAAATGGCTTTATACCCTTGAACATATGGGTAGCACTACGAGGACTCAGTGGGGTTTGATGTTGGCCTTTTCTTTTTAATCAAGGATATAATATGGGGATATGGAGGTGACTCAGAGGAAGGAAAGATGGGTTAAGCACCTGGTAAACCTCTATGAACAGCTCAAGAATAAATAACAATATCATAACAAAAATTTTTCAAATGACACAAGCTACTCCTCATATTGTACTTGAATAGATTTTAAACAGATTAAACTAGAATCAAATATCACTAGTTATCCACTGCCCGCCTCACAGAAGAACTCTTAAGTCTCACTCACAACAGCCTCCACTCTGTAAAAGGGAAAAGCCCAAGATGGACCGTCTGAGTTCTCATGTGGAAAGGAGCCTGAAGACCTAAGAAATCGCTCCCTGCTCAGTTCATCCTTCCCCCTTTACTTTTTTAAGACTTATTTATTATACATGTCTGGGTGTTTTCTTACATGTATGTATGCACATCACATGAGTGCAGTACCTGAGAAGCTTAGAAGAGGGCATCATATCCCCTGGAATTGGAGTTATAAGTGGTTGGGAGCTGCCATGTGGGTGCTAGAAACTGAACATGGGTCCTCTGCAAAAGCAGTAAGTGCTCTGAAACACTGGCCATCTCTCCATGTTTTCTCCACACTTGACAATTATCTCTGAATTGGATAATATGGAGGTGGTTTTGTTTCTGTAGTGATGGGATGTGGAATTTGCAGTTAGCTCCCTACCCTTGAAAGGAAACAAAGCCACATGAGCCCTGTCTGTTACCTTGCTTCCTTACTTTATTTGTTGGGTTTTGGGGTGGTAAATGCCAAAGGCTCCATCCTTGTGTTTTAAAAGGCTGCTCCTATCAGCTCTGAGAATGTATGCCCTGCAGCAGTAAGCAGGAGCTCGTGCTGGTGTAGGGACACAGGTCAGCCTGAGCAGCAGCCAGCTTCTCCCTGAGGACCTGTGTCCGATGGAGTTAAGAGCACATTGGGTCCAGGCAGGCTTTGCAAGCCTGACATCTGCTGGCGGCACCAGCTCTAAGCTGTTCTCTGGATCACTTGGCTGACTGGACACTTGAGATGCCTGTGCTTTAGGGTGACCGCAGATTCTCTCAATCACCCCACACTCACTTTCTGATTCCCATCACACAGTTCTCCTATTTTGTGGCAACCCAAAGGGGCTCTGCAGTTCCAACGGTCACCCTGGAGATGACCAGGTGGCTGAGATTGTGGCCTCTCTTGAGACAATCCTGTCTTATACTTCACAACGCTGAGAGACTTGATAAAGAGGTGCTGACAATGACCAAATGCAGAGCCAGGTCTCTTTGTGACCATGTTCTGTTGGATTAGCTTAGTTAAGTAGACCATGAGTCCCTTAATGGCATTGTCCCAAAGGAGCAGGTGAAGTACCATTCCCCTGCATGTCTCCACTGGTGCTGTCTCTTATGGGGGCATTCAGTACCAAGGCCTGCCTTCCCCCCATGTACCCCTGATTGCTCTGTGCTTTGCATCTCTTCTTGAAAATTCATCTCCAGAGCAGGTCATCAGGGCACAGCATGACTCTGGTGACATCTGCCACCACTGGAACTAGAAGTGCTATACAAAGAACCCACAGATTGTTAAGGCTCTGCTTTTTTATTATATGTTAAATGAACTGTATTGGGAAACCCAGGACTGAGTGTACCACTCTAATCAATATCCTGAGGCTATAGTATGATATCCTAATTAGCTATCCAGAAAGAGTCTAGCTTCTGAATAATTTCTATGGATACCCGAGATCACATAGTACCTCCCAGGGCCACCAAGAGCCTTGAACTTATTTATAAGATTTGTGAAGTTTCTAGCTCTTTTCTATAACATAATATGACAGAGGTCCATATCTTCTACAATATAATATAACAGAGGGTCATATCATCTATAATATATCAAAGAGCCATATGATCTACAATACAGGGCCATATCATCTAAAATATAATATAATAAAGGACCATATAATAAAGTTTATTTCCATCATTTGCTGCTGTAACTTCTACCAATATATTAGTGGTTTATCATTATACAGCATATATAACTATAATTGCTATAATAATCACCTTATAATAATTTTATAATTACTGTAATAATACAAACTTCCCCAATTACTATTATAGCCATAATAGGAGCTTTTTGAACATTAATCCTGTTACCTGGAGTGGTACTTAATTTTGAATCCACTTTGTACAATGTAAACACAATGTCCAAAGCTGAATAGTTAATTGGTTGCAGATAGAAGGCTAGAACCCAGCCTCGCTAGTCATTTACTCTCACATCAAGAGAAAAGCTCCTTAAATGTCCCAGAGCCATGACTTTCTTCTCTATACAACAGACACACCTAAGGCTATATCTCACGGAAGTGTGGTCAGAAACATTTCTACAAGGATTTCTAGCATGGATACTGGATGGTTCAGAACCATTAGTTGACTCTGAATGTGCAAAACAGATAGAGCGTGTATATAAGCTTCACATGTGTGTAAATACGTACGGCTGCAGCAGTCTGCTCGTAGAAGAACTCTTTTCTAGATGCTTTGGTAAAGCTAAAGTGACTCACTGGTCATTGGTCTACATTTTACACTAGGGCATGTGGATGAATTTCTTTTTTAACGCAATGCACTTGTGCCCTCCCTTGACACAGCCTCTACTCTGCCCTGTTTGTGTGGAGGACAGTTTGCTGGGCTAATTTTGAAAGATGTGCTCATTGGATGAAGGCAGGATGATGAAGCGAAGGCCATGGGCTTGCTTAGGAGTTGGAGGACTCTAGCCACTCATTTAATCGCAGTAGCCATAAGTTTCCTGATACTTTGGATAATAGAATGTAAGGAAATAGGAAAAACTTCAGTTTCTGCTCCAATAAATAAAAACATTAGAGGTCATCACTCCCATCTTAAAACGGCCTGAGCAAACTGAACATCAGAAACAACTGAGCCTGCCAGAGAATTGAGCACACTGGAATCCACCACCTTAAAATCACAGAGGTAGTTGAATGGGGGTGATCCAGGTCAGGTCTACCATTCACACTCTACATTCATGGAGAAAACCTAGGCCTCAACCTAAGAAAAACATGCAATACCTATACGCAGACAACCAAAAGCCCTAAAATAAATGGAAAGATTGTGTTCAAATTGCATATTGTTAAGATGCTAGTTCATACACACACACACACACACATACACACACACACACACACACACACACACACACACACACACACACACACATATATATATATATATTTTAGAATCAATAAAAATCCAATCCAAATTTGAGCAAGCTGCTCTTTGGATTTTAACAAAACAACTTCACAGTTTATATCAAAAGACCAAGAAACCAGAATAGGAAGTCAACACTGAAAGAGAATGTGATCAAAGGATGGCCACTCTCCAACTTCAACACTTGCTATAAAGCTTTACTTATTGGCAAAAAGAATAAATACACAATTATTACTGGCCAGAATGGACAGTCCCCTAACAGGACTTCACAAACACAGTCAAGTGATCCAAATCAAAGGCAAAGACAATTGAAAAGAGGAAGACTAGACTTTTCAATAAACGGTGAGGGATCAGCTCAACTTTCCATATACAAGAGAATTAATCTAGATACAAAATCTATAATTTCTACAATATTCAAAATATATTAGGCTTAAATATAAAATCCAAGACTTTCGTAAGATAACATAAGAAAATACTTCAGTTCACTTGGATTTGGTGATGAATGAAAATGAAATTTTATTTTATGGAACTTAAAAACTATCCTGTTGGGCTGGAAAGATAGCTCAGGGATTAAGAGCACTGGGCTGCTCTTCCAGACATCCTGAGTTCAATTCCCAGAACCCAAATGGTGGCTCATGACCATTAATAATGAGATCTGGTGGTCTGCAGGCATACACGCAGACAGAACTCTGTACACAAAACAAACAAACAAACAAACAAACACCTGTCAAAGATATTTTAAAAAATGAAAACAAAAAAAAAATCAGACCTCAGACTGAAAGAAAATATTTACAGTAGCACATACTTGGAAATGAACTTGAATCCAAAGTACACTTAATTTTTAACTATAAAAAAGGAATAATTGGGGGCTTAAAAGGAGACTCAGCAGTTAGGAACATTTAATGCTCCTACAGAGGACCTGAGCTTGGTTTCTACCCAAATCAGGTGACTCACAACTGCCTATAATTCTAGTTCTATGGAATCTGATGTTCTCTTCTGGCCTCTGTGGGCTCCTGAATGCATATCACACACACACACACACACACACACACACACACACAATTTTTAAAAATCTACAACAACTAATTTAAAAAGTAATAAGATATCTGGAAGGACACCATATGAGAAGACAGCAAAAGAGCAGATGTGAGGAAGCTCTGCGCTCACATCATCCCATGTCACAGAGTGAAGAAACTTTCTGTTCACATCATCCCATGTCATGGGAGAGTGAATACTGGGCTGATAACAAAATACAAATGTGCTATTTCAAAGTCTGACTTACAAGAAACTGAAAGTGTTAAATGCTGCTGAGAAGGCAGGAGAGGAG